ATGAAATTGAGAAATGAGAAGTCTCTATTTCAGCTCATATAAATGAGCATACCTTTTACACTTTTGAGTGTGAATCTTTCTAAATATTACGAGATGCTTAGGTGTTACAGCAATGAGTACCACATACAAATGTTTATGGCAACATATTAATAATCAAACAAAAGCAATTACTAAAGGCATTTCAAGGTTACCCTCTCTGTACCATCCTTAAAACCTAGCTTATTTTTATAGGGCTTTAGATGTAACTGTTTACCCAGGAACAAACAACAGAAAGGTTTTCATAGTTCTTTAAAAACAGCATAAATTGTGTGACCTGGAGTCTAGTCCCACTGCAGTTGCTTCGAGGTTTAGCATTGGTTTCAGTAGAACAAGAACCAAACCAGGGAGATATCCTTCCTCCTCATTGTGGCAGCCATGGTATAACATTGACATAATGAAGGGGCTCACCATACAACTCACTTCAGTATTTACTTTAAATATGCACAGTGTAATGTTTATTTTTATTTAATTCACTTTTATGTGAGCCTAATAGAGCCAGACTCATAAAGCTCACTCTTGCACCAGACTAAAGCAGTGTCTTTGTAGCATTTATAAGTTGTTCATAAATCATGGTGGCACTTGTTGCTGTCCACAAGCTGGTTTTCATGCTAAAGGTTTCAATCACTAAGATGCACAGTATTATTCAGGCCCAGTTTTATTCCTCGAGAAATTCTGTTGTGGTGATTTTGTACTCCTGCCATTTGTGGAAAACATGTGTGTACATCATGCTGTTTGAAATACACGTGGTATTTGACACACACGGTACCATTAGCTGCTGTATTAACAAGCACTCTAATTAAATATACAGAAAATTCTTTGTATTTCTGCAATGCAGGAAAAGTACTTCTCATTCCAGTTTGCAAATTCCCAGTGTTTACCTCCGGTATAGGAGAAGAGCCTTGATTTGTCAGACCCTACAGGTTTTAGCTTTGGTTGTTAATACCAGCAATTCCCAATTCCTATTCAGTTGACTCTGAAAACTGTATCTGGGAGGCGTTCAGTGATCTTGCATTCAAATGGTTAATTTGCACTATGTTCTGTTAAAGAAAAGGAAAACTGTCACCCTGTCATTTTAGAGTCTGACACTAAGCTTGTCAAAAGAGACAGCTGTTAAACTGAATTACTGTTGACATGCAGAGAAACGGGCCTTGCCAGATGTAAAGGACATCTGCGGCAATGAAGTGGTACAGGGTGGCTTTTAAAATGTGGTCATACTGGTATTTGAATAGAGAGTCTATGGCATTAAAACGTGGCCTTGACTCAGACAGTTTAAGGCAGCGAACCAGAGCCAATGAGAAGCACAAAGAAGTGCTGATCTGTTGCTGTATCCATAACTTATGCATGAATATGAAAACAGTGCAGTGTCAAAGCTATTAAGCTCTTATCTTGTATCCAGGAGGATATGGGTTTAAAACACAGTGGGAAATATTTTGTATTTCTGGGTCCTTGAACATGTGGGTAGGTGAGGTGTAAATTCCTAAGGTGGATTATGTAGGGAATGAATAGAAATAAGGCTTCTTGTCTTCAGCTAACAACTGCTCAGACAAGAACTGCAAAGGGCATTAGCTTAGGAAGTGAGTGCTGGATGTGCCTCACCCATGTTTCCCATCAGGATGCTGGCATGCGAAGCACATGGATGGGTGCTGGGAAGTTTTCCTTCAGGGAAGGGAGCAAATAAAAATGGGAAGAGCTGCACAGAGAGGCCTGTAGAATTTTGTATCCTAATGTGATTTTCATTTAAAAAAGTCAGGGTATAAAATTCATTCTGTGAAAAAAATGTAGATATTATGAATATTTTATAATTTAGCGATTGAACCAAAGGTAGGGAATTCTGCCCATTATATAAGTGTGTAAGTCTTTGATTTGCATGTTTTTAGGGTAGGAATGAAGCTACTTTGGAAAAAAAAAAAGAGCCAGTTAAACATTTTGCTAAGTGTATGAAAAATGAAATGTTATGAGACGAAGCATGTATTCATTATGAAATGAAATTGATGTTTGAAGCTAAAAAAAAAATATTCAGGCCAAACAGAATTTTGAATATGTTAGCAGATCATATCTTGATTTATTTGTATGCTTAGTGGTGGCGGAAACCAAAGAGTTTGCCATCTGTGGGGAAGAAGGCAAATGCTATTTCTAAATCACATAGGCTAACCTGCTTGTTTCTGCAGGAAAGTAAACACCACAACAGCAATTTGCTCTAAGCAGGCAAAATGCTGGAAGAGGTGTGTGCAGGAGGTGTTTTCTTCTCAGGAAGAAGAAAGTTTGCTTTCCAAGCACCTGGGTTTCTCTATGCAGAAAGGCCAATATCAGTTGAGGTATACTTCTTCCCCTACACTTCCTCTGAGGTGGTGGAAAGGCCAGGGCCCATTTAACTCTTGAGATGATTTGAGCTGATGCCCTGTATTGCTCCGAGGGTGTCCCTTTACCATGAAGAGCATTTAGCATCCTGTGCTGGCCAAAATGCATTTTTACCTGCTGCCCACCACCGCAATGAGAAGAGGTGGATGATCTGTGCCCATGGTCCAGCTGGACAGCCTCTGGATTGCTGGAGAGAGATGCATGGTAGTGTGTGATTTATGCATGGTAATGTGTGATTTATGCATGGTAATGTGTGATTTATGGAGCTGACTCTACGCAGTGTGTGTGTGTGTGGGGGGGGTGTTCTGCAGGGTAGTGCTGCTGCCAAATCTGACCAAAGAGCCACCTACACATGTAACCAACAGTGCTCTCACTGGTCCATATGGCCGTGGATGGCTGGGCCACCACAGGAGATGGCTTTACAAGTACAAATACCTGTGATCTAACACAGCCCATCCTGAAATCACATTTATCAACAGCTGCCAGAGGTCTGCTGTGCATGAGGGAGGTAGTAAGTAGTGTCAGTGTTTAACCACTGTGGTATGGGCAGCAAGCAGAGTAGTTGTGTTTGTGCAGTCTCCAGGAGTTAATGACTCGTGCTTTGTCCCAGCCTCTGCTGGGAGGCTTTCAGGAGGAGTAGTCAGGATGACTGTGCTCCTGTGGGGTCAGAGCACACTGGTACATTTGGGGTTCCTGATGCTTTGAGAGTTGGTTCCTCAAGAATAACTTCTATACAAGGACAACAGAGATTCTGTACAGCATCTTATTTCTTGCCCTGTGGGTTATAGGATCTCAGTGACAAACACAGGAAAGGAGTTGTAAAAATAAAAAGTTTAGTTAAAAACATTTTGAATGTATTTTAGCTCGTGGATGGCAGGAGAGCTGGTAGGTGCCAAGCAGGGTCACCAATATCATATATGTGTACTCTGGGGACCATCAGAAGCTACTAGAGCTTCCAGCCTGGTCACGTAAGGGTAAGATAGTCTTAGGAGGAAATTACAGTGATTTTCTGCTTTCCTCCTCTGCTGCTGTGTGTACTGTTGTCTGTGCTGACCCAGCAACACCAGTACTGAAGCCTCTGCAGAGGCAGTACTGGCTCAAAACCAGCCATGTGTCTGTGCTAGAGAGGGGCTTGAGTGTCGTCCACCCTACCAATTTTATGGGACTTATCTGGTCAAAACATCAAATATCTCTTTAGAAGGATGTTGTATGCTGTAAGAAAAAAGGCTGAAATCTCAGTATCCACTCTTTGCAGATCAGGTAGCGCTGCAGCGCAGCATTGCAGGTTTTACCCAGAGCAGACTCACCTATTTACATCAGTTTAACGATGATGTAACTATTAACTTTTTGCAAACAAGCACAAGATGGAACATTTAAATATACAGGAACAAGCATATTATTAGATATTATTATTATTATTTATGTAATAGCTCTTATCATCACTCGCTTATTAAAGCTTACCATGAAAAATCTGTTTCTTCTAGTCTAAACTCTTTCATACAGCTTCCGATTTTGATTGACACCAAAATAAAATAACTAACCTATAAATTATAATGTATGATTTAAGTGATGTAGAAATGCACTATCTGTAAAGCATTGCAAGGATCATCAATTTTAAGAAAGGACACAATTTTAAGAAAATAAAAAGTATTTTGCCAAGATAATAATAAGGCAGAATGCAGCTCTTTTGTGAAGATTCTCACCGCGTGCTTATATTAATTTTAATAATCAAAGAAACTTGGAAAAAAATCCCTATGTCAACAGGCATTTGAACTTCATCAGTCCCAGGTCAAGAAGGAAAATCTATGCATTCTTCTCAGAAATGCACCCTAATTTTGTGAGCTGTCAAAGAAGCCAACCTCTGTCATTGAAGTCACCTCAGAATTCATGTTTGTAAAGATGCTCTCACTCACCTGTTTGTTGATGTTGGAAAGGTATCTTTCTTTCTCATTTTATTCAAGCCAAGAAATGAAACTTTCTGAGTTTCATGTGTTCACTGGGAGATGCTCTCTGCCTGCTGTGCACTGACACAGCGAGCAGGGCTGAGTTACTCCAGCTGAAGAAACCCCCAAGCTTTAGTTTCCCATTTCAGTATTGCAGACAGCATGGGAACTAGGTCATTGACAAACAGAAAATAATACACAATGGCTTATTATAATCCATCCATTTGTTTTTGAAAACAGTGATCTCCAGGGAGGGAAAGAACTCCTTGCTATGTTTAAATACTGTATTTCAAATAGGGGGTTCTAATTCAACCTCTACACAGCCTGGTAACTGTTTATTACTCTAAGAAGGAACTCACATAGATACAAGTTATTCTACCAGTGCTCAGACTGCTCGGTAGGGCCATCTTGTAGTACCAGTGCTCGGTGAATACCATTAATGTGCTTTAAATTTGACTGTCCAAGTCCCATTGTGGAAGATGTGGCTCTTGCCCCTGAAGGTTTGCAGTGTAAAATGAATTAATAGCACATTCCAGGTTAGATCTGAGTTCATATTATGACTAATTTATTTCTTGTATTTAGCATTTCCCTCTGCTTATACTGTGATTTCTATGAATATTTTCCTCTATAAAGGTATCTTCTTTTTTTCTTTCTCTGCAGTATGAATTGAAGAATATATATTTGCAAACTGAGGTGGTTTTTACCTTTCCTTGCTTGGATGTTCATGGCAGGTTGCTGGCAAACATCTAAAATTCAGTTTCCAAAGTTCTAGACAGCAAAGGGCACGTTTTGCAGAGACAAAATGAGTTCGATACAAATAAATATCCTCACAGAATGATAGGAACCCTTCTCAATGTTAAAAACCAGCAAAGGAGCCAAGATATACACATATGCTATAGCTCCATGTACAGTCAAAATATGAGGCAACATTTACTTTAGATTTATACAGTTTAACACTAAGGGGAATTTGGGATCTTCATAAACTATAACCATGGCATCTCCTAAATATTTTTAGTGATGCAAAATCTTCTGTGATCCAGGCTACTTCACAGCACTACTAGTCTCAAGGTAACATCATGAGGAATTACCTTGTTTCTTTAGGGTAGTTTTCCCCTGTGTGTAATTCTGAAAGCCAGCTGCAAACTTACTCTGCTGACTGCTTGGTAAATAGCTTTCTACATAAACATACTGATATGTACAAAGCTAAAGAAGAAAGGGAGCTGTATCAAGGAGGAAGGTAGCTCCTTTTCCATCCTTGTTTGCACTGAGCATGTTTCTTGTTTCAGTGTCTTTTTCATTAGAATTTAATCTTTTTGGAAGCACTGAAAAGCCAGGTAATATGTTTAGACCTGGCCCATGCCCATAGAATAATTTTAAGATTAATTTCATGGGTACAACCAGCTTCTCCAAACATCACCTTTTTCTCTTTTTAACCATAAATGGACATATTTTACTTTTACTGCTTCGTTTTCTTTTTAAAAATGCTCTTTATTGCGCTGAACTGAGTGACCATGCACTGAAGGGAGGTTTTTGTTAAATGGAAAAGTTATTTTTTGCATGTTCTCATGTAATTAGCTATCATCTCATTATATATATTAGACTATTATATATATTATTATTAATATATATTATTATAATATATATTAAAAATTATATATTCTAATTTTCAACAGAGGAACAGATTCTTGGTTATATTTGCCTTTTCTATGGGGATTTTTCATATTTTATGAAAGCTGTAGGTATAGGTAAAGAGGAAAACGAGGAAAGAGGAGCACAGGTATTGGTAGTACTCACTGAGTAGCTGATTTACAGAAATGGGAGCCCCCTGGGGCTGACTTGCAATGGATTGACCAACTTACTTTGCATTTTATTTATCTGTCTGGCTACTTAACACATCTTAATGTTTCTCTTATATGAATTAATTTACCCTATAAAGCACTCCCTGCAATAATCAATGACTCATTGCACTGAAAACCCAAAGGAAAGATTAATTGAATGAAAAGTGTGTAAGAGGAATGTTAAACTTCTGTATTTCTAGTGACCCAGATATTTAGGGCTTTCTTTATACTGAGTTCTCACAAGTTACAGCACAGCTTTTTACCTTAAGCCATGGGGATTTCAGCTGGTTTAGAGTGTGGTGCTATTTCCCAGATGTCACCACAATCCAGTTCATTTGTCATCGATATCCACAGGAAATAATAATCTGTTTATACATTAGATTTCTTTCAGCTCTGCAAGGTTCTTGTTATGAATTCCTTCCAGCTGCTTTTTCCATTCCCACAGAAGAATTGCATGTGAAGGGTTACTGCTCAACCATCAGTTGCTCTAACAATTATTGACTGATAACCACCAGTAACTCTGACAATCTTTGATAAGGATTTTGTGTAGTCATTATGCTCTAAAATGTCACCTCACTCATAAAAGTCTTGAACTTCAGGTTGGGTAGCTGACAGAGCCACCTTTCCTGGATCCTTGAATAGAAAGAGGTTAGCAATATGGAACATGGAGCTTTTATAGCTACAGAAATGCCATGTAAAACTGAGTCAGCTCAGAACTCCTTTCTGCCCCATGGGAATGACTGCGTCCCGTTACCTTTGGAGAAGTGATACCTGCCGGTCAGCTTGGCAGACAGCAATCAAGGTTTCTTGTACTCTGACCAATGATTTTGGGAGACAGTAAATGAAGTAAAGCCATGAACTAAAGCAATTAGAACAAGGTATAAAAAAACAGCTGTGGCTAAGCTCCTTTCCTTGACATTCTTTGCACTGCTGGTGTTGCTTCACACTGTCTTTGAGTTCTGATTTTTTTCCCCTGAATGACTGCTCACCTCTGTTAATTTCGTTGCATCTATTGTAGATTTATATTTTCTTTAAGATCAATATGTGCCTGCATTCAGGCAGGCTTGCACCATAGCAGAACAGATGAACTGCTTCCATTCCAGATTAGCAAGTGATCAAAAGCAAGCCTGAGAGACTTCCCATCCTGGGAAGCATCAAGCCACACACGCTGGCAATAATTACATTACCTTCAGAGTAATCTGGGGAAAAAGGGAAAATAAGAGATGAATGAATCCTCTATTCAGTTTTAAGGCAGCAAAAAATTAAGTAAGTCAATTTACCTCAACATGCTAATTAATACGTCCAAAGTGCTGCAAAGCCTAATAATAAATGGAATGAATTCTTTAAAGTGTAGGTGACCAACAGAAAACTAGATGAATGCATGATACTGCCTCTACTTCTGGTTGTCAGCTAATAAATTGTGTTAAATATGGTGGCAACATATTAAAGATTTGTTATACTTTGCTATCAACTGCAAGTGGTTGCAATTTCTGTAGGGATGTTATGCTGTGCCGTAGCACAGGGAAGGCAGTATTGTAAGGGTGAATTGGGAAAAAAAGGTCTCGATCCCAAATGGATGAAACCTGACATAAATGCATGTCTTAACCCCTAACTGTGGTGTTTTAGGGAGAAAACAAACTAAATGTTATTAGTACTGGACTGAATCTATTTGTTCTGTGACTCAAAAGCTGGATATTTTCTTTGCTCCTTTGTAGTTTTATTGAAGTAAAATTATAGAAAGTGTTTGCCTTACTGTTTTGGCCCAATCTTTTCAGTGCTTCAGGGGACTGATACAGGTTACATAGCTGGCTTTCAGTCTGGTTTCTCCCCCACCAGCCTTTGCAAATCAGCGGGACTGATAGATTATAGCGGTTTGAAAATCAGGCCCTAAATTCTGATACCAACAAAACATAAGAGAGCTTGAATTGTGTAGATTTTGCATCCAACCTACACTATATTCTTTGAAGACAATAGCAAAAAAATAATATCAAATGGTTTCTTTATTTGGAGGTACTTCAATATCAGAGGAGATTTGCTTCCAGCTAAGTAAACATTTGTTACAGAACTAAAAATGTTTGATATGCTGTTGTATCAGATAAACTTTGTTAGTGCTCAGTAGCACAGTGCTGGTAATTTAAGAACTCACAGGATTTTCAGCAGTAAAAGATCCCAAATGAGTGCTAAGCTCAGTGGGAAAATGCAGTACGTAAATATGCAGCTAGAGGAGTGGAATAGGAGGGGAGCAGTTCTGCACTCAATTTTGGGAACCTCAAACCAATCTTGAAGGATGTTAGAGAGAAACAAAAGTGAAGAAATTATATCTTGGGGCATAAATGTATATAAATTATATAAAAATTATATAAATGCTATAAAAATATAAATTATATTTTAGGGCATGAATTAATTTCAAAGAATTTTCATGTTAAAAACAATGTTGAGCAAGAGCCCATCTGGAAATCCACCAGTCACTGGAGACTCCTGCTGCCATTTGGCATAGGAGGAGATAATCTGATTTGATAGAGGAATCAATCTCTAGCTGCTGCATAGTCCCAAAGTATATTCTACAACACATAGCTGTGCATTGCAGTTAGGAGCAGTGGTCACTGAATGCACCAAGAAAGATGCAAAAAAGGTCCAGGCAAGCAAAGCATGACCAGAGTTGATGGATAAACTGGTTTCATGTGATGGGATGAAGAACCACTTGTAAAGAAGAGATGATGCTTAAGATGAAGGGTTGTCACATCCAGAGTCAGCCAGCCCTGGATGATTTCAGGGGTAATTATGAAGTCGCATCTGGGAAGAGCTGGAGAGGAAACAGCAAAACCACCAGAGAAAGGCAGCAGAGGAATTTGACAACAAACTCTATAGAGAAAACGCAGCTCCATGAAGGAGAAAGATGCTTGGGCACCTGTTGTCACAGCTGTGACTAAGCATACAATGACCAGATCAGGGTGAATAATGAGAGAATCTGCTCATTTAAGAGTGTATATACAAAACCAGCAGGGACATGAAACTGTTTTGCTTTGTTTTACTGATGATGTGTTATTGGAGTCATGTCTCTGACTGTGTCCTAGAGTGGGTTCAAAACAATTACTTATGTAACACAGGATATATTTAAGTCAGGGAAGAGTGGGGACGAGAACTGTGTGTATCTCAATTCCTGGTGAAGAAGCAAAATGAAATTATGTTTTTCTGAATAGATTTATTGATTTCTGTTTTTCCAGCACAAGGATATCCATCTCAAAGGCTGGATGCCCCTTGCAAAATTGAACTGTAAAGTAATCGAAGAATGAGATTAAGCCCTGTATTCATCTCTTACCAGTTGCTAGTCCACACCCCAGCCTGAACTGCCAATGTCATCTCCAAAACTTAGAGCCCATCACTGGCTGACTCTAGCTTGGTCCATGGTGGCTGGGGCTTGTTCCTGGCCAGGACAGACAGGCAATACTTGGTGCAGCCTCTGGCATGCCACCTTCTTGTAATGCTCTGCTTTACAAGTAGTCAGACATCATGTGGATCAGCTTGTGGGTTAAAGAGCTTGATTGTCAAGTGGCAAATGCATGGCTCTAGCAAAACTTAATCCATATGTGAAAGAAAATTGCATTTGCTGCTCACTTACAGAGCAGAGCAATAAGCAGGACAACATCAGGGAAAACAAAAGGAAAAAGAAAACTCAGCACAGCAGTTCTTTAGGCACCAAGAAATAGCCTGTTCCAATGCAACTGCCCACATTGTTAGCCTGATTCACAAATAATGGTATTCTATGCTAGAATAACCACCAGTAGTTTAATTTAAAATGAAACCCATATTGAGAAATTTTGAACACAAAGAAAAGATTTGTGGAACATAAATAC